TATCGTCTTATTGGGCTATATCGTCTTATTGGGCTATATCATCTTATTGGGCTATGCATCAGTAGCCAAAGGGCTAAAGGTTTGATTTGTTTATTGGTATTAGATTGAAGAGTATCACGAACATATCAAGATGAGCAGCAGAAAGACAGCAGGAGGAAAAGAAAAACGAAACAAGAGAGAGGTACATTGATTCATTTTGTACGACTCTAAAAATAAACCATTTCATTATTGAAGGCTTTTTTACTAACGACGTAGTTGGAAGCGCGCAAGAATCGAGATCGAAAGATCGAAAGTTTTCTTTTTCTTGGAGTGTGCTTACTCTTATGATGAGTGGTTTTCACTTCAGTGCGACTTCCGATTCCGACGCAAATCAAAACTATCCTGGAATAAAAACCTTCCAGTGGTAGTCTATAGTGCAGTTAGTTGGTTGGTTAATTTAGATTGGCGGGCCAGTTAATCGCTCTAAACACCTGGGACAGATCTAGTAGAGTCTCATGGTGTGCCTGTGCACATCACTTCCTGCCAATGTTAGGGGGCTTTCATTTATTTGCGCATGGGGGGGGGGGGGGGAAGCAAAATTGTAGCGCGGTTTACGTTATTTTGAGTGTGGTTAAAGGGGGTCATCATATATTGAGAAACTTGGAATTGTTGTCTCTACCACGGAGGGGGGTTGGGTTATGTTTGTAATGCTTTCCAAGTGATTTTTCCGACCCCTCACCTCCCCCCATGCGCTAATAAATGAAAGCTCCCTTATGTTGCTGAGAACGTAAGTTTGACAGTGGTTTCTGGGGTCAACCCTAAACTAGAATCTCAGAACCGCCCTTAAGACATTGTGTGATACTTTCCTTTAATCCTAATCAATCTCGACAATAAAATGTCACTGATGTATTTACCTCATTTTTTCTTCTTAGTTTCTGGACATCTATAGCGAGGTACAGTAGTAATAGTCAAGTATTGACTGGTAGTGAAGGTAGTGAAGGTAGTATGGATATCAGTGGTAGTGTAAATATAGAGCTGGACATCTATAGCGAGGTACAGTAGTAATAGTCAAGTACTAACTGATAGTGAAGGTAGTATGGATATCAGTGGTAGTGGTAGTGTAAATATAGAGAACAAGGGTCTAGTGAAATAACATATTCACCGTCCTGCCACATCGGCCCCCTTACTGACTTCTCTCTGTTAGGCATCAGACTCTCTTGTACCAGTATAAATAAGCTTTCGAACATTGAAATCATTGTTTTTCCTTATCTTATATGAAGAAACAAAAGATTAGATAAAACTGTCTTCTTACCTTTCTTCAGGCATCATCAGCTTTGGATGGTCTTCTGGAAGAAGACGCCATTGCCACTGAAGAAAGTAAACTTATCGATAATGCTTGGAGAGGTGCTGAGGTAAGAATACAAACCCCCTTCTTAGCGATTTCTATTTTGCACAAATAAGATGGATGAGGGGAACGCATCAAACTATTCCAGTTCTGAAATCAGGAACCGATAATGGATGTTAGTGCATAATGTTTATCTTCTTCAATGATGGTTTCCTGATGTAAAACCTACTTGTTTTTCAGGCATATCACTTCTTTTTGTTAGCACAGCGACAGCTTTATGAAGGATACATCGAAGCTAGCATGAAAACGGTAAAATGTTTCTTTCAATTTTCCTTTTTGAAGGGGGGGGGGGGGGGAGGGGGGGGGTTCAATTTTCTCCCATCCTCTGTTTATATATCCACTCGCTGCATCCATCCATCCACTTTCATTTGTTTTAATGATCTGCTCTTCGTTGTTTTTAGGCAATGCATTTGCGTGAATATGAAGACGTACTGGACGCTTCAGTCATTTTCTCTCTCTTGGCTCTAGCGAGTTGCGCTAACAGATCCTTTGGAACTTGTTCTAAGGTAAACTCTCTTGGTAAATATGCCCACCGTATAACTCCTGTTTACTCCTAATGACACTAAGCACAAAGCGACGCAAGAAGACGCAACTCCAAGCTAGTCCATGCTCTCACTATGTAAGCGACGCAAGCGCAAAAGAACGAAAGATTTTGTTTTCCTTGGGGTGGCTTGCGCTTGTGCTTATCTTTGCATCGGCTTGCGTCGTGATAGAGATAACCCAGTCTTTAACCCTAAAGTGGATCCTTAAAGGCAGCTTTTGAGGATAATTGTCGTGGTCAAGCGCAATTTGTCATTTACTCTACTATTTTAAAGGTTACTTTAACCCTAAGTTTGACTTTAACTCATTCTTAAGTTTTTTTATTATATATCTACATACTGAATATGTCCTTTGATATTAGGCATTCATCAAGCTGGAGTTATTGGATAACATCACTGATGAACAACGGAAGGCCTACGAGGAGCTTGCTCTGGAAATATTCACGAAGTAAATAATTTTATTAGCCCTTTCAAGTACTAATTCCCATGTTAAAGTATGAGCCATAGATAAAAATGGTTTACTTGTGTCGGTGTATTGATAATAAAAAAGAGCGGGAACTGAGAGTTGACTGTCGTACGCGCGTCAAAAACTGAAAAATGGCGGGAAACGTGAACGCCTGATAATAGGTACGCGCGTAAACCAAATATTAAAAAGGGCGGGAAACGAGTAGGGAAGGAAAGCGGGACATCGGAAAAAATGTTTAGTTACCTGGCATAGAAATACGGAATACTCCTGTTTTTCTCCTTGGTTAAGGTTAAAGTCAATAATTGTTTTTTTTTTCCCAGACACTCTCCTAAGGACTCTAGAGGCAACAAGGTAGAATGCACCAACTGTGAAACACTGATTCCAGATTGGTAAGTAAGATTCCCATGTCATCTTCTATTTTATTTATTTCCACTTGGTTTTATTATGCGGTGTCGCTAAACAACACTTCTAAAGGCTTATCAAACGACAATCAGTAACGGTAATCACATATTGCAAACCTTCGTGTAAACATTCCACCAAATAATTCGATAAAAATCCCACAACAGACTCTCGCCATAAAGTTGTCACAACAAGCAACATTACATACTTAAAATCCTATAACATCTCATCATCTCATCGATTTATCTCATCATATTCAGCTTTTCATTCCATATTCTCAACAACAAAAAACAACAAAACAAAAAATAAAATAAAAAAGCATACGTGTGTCCCCAGAAAATGGTCAAGTGTTTTCATGGTTTAGTTAACCATTTCACCACATTGAACTGTTTTCCGGCCGCAATTCCGTGGGTGTTGCCGGTGAGATATTGCTGTGAGTTTCAAATAAAAAATAAAAGATGCAGAAGTAGATGTTAACCTCTCGGATAATTAGCAGTATATGCTAGAGGCCTGACAAGCTTCGTGTAAAGCCGAGGGTAAATAAAGTTCATCTCTCTCTATCTATCTAGCCTCCCTATTTTATACGATGACTCATGTATAGGACCTTGCTCGTGAACGTCCTTGTACGCACGGCCTGAGACACCCTTCTGTGTAGAAGTGCTCTTGTTCTTATAATACTTTCCCACACCTTACCAATACAGGAGTCAAGTATGCCCCAACTGTGACACTAAATTCCCCACRTGTGTGGTGACGGGGCGCCCATTGATGGACTATCAGTTCTGGATGTGCAGCACGTGTAAGCACCGAGCCTACGAACAGGAAATCGCTTCTTTAAACTTTTGCCCACTTTGTCATTCGGCTATTTAGGCAGTGGTTATCCAAACAACTGGTCTATGAGACCGCATCAGTTTTCGTCTTTTATCTATCACGATAATTAGAACAGGGTGAAAGATAGGGAGATATATTATAGTGTAAGCCTTTTCAGGTTACGGAAGCAATTCAGCTGTCACACATTAGAAAGCAGTTAGGCCGACTTCTTTTTAACTTCGAAAAAATCATTTATTGGAGCTGTTGGAAAACATTGTAAAAAATTAGAGGCGTTTGAAGCCATTGGTAGTGTAAGTAGGTCACTTTTCAGTTGAGAAACCATGTAAATAGCAAGCATGCGCTAAAAACATGAATGCAGTGTATGATAATATATTCTTTTGTAAGCCATTGCAATGTAATGGCTAAGACCTTTACAGATGGAGAAGAAAAAAAAGCTGAGAAGGCGTGGTATCAGTAGCTAAGAAAATAGATAGTTATACTAAATACTTTCTAATCGTTTAACAAAGATAAACTGAAGCTTTTTTACTGGAAGATTCTAACGAAAACTAATCAAAACCGGCATTTTCATTGTAAAAACTTATTTATCTGTTGCGGTATCACACCGTTAGCAGGTTCGCATCAACGCGCTTCAGCTACAGTAATTTGAAACTTTTATTCTACTTGAAGTCAGCAATTCTGTAATCAATTCTTTTTCTAGAGCATTCCAAAGCCTTTTTATTGCTAAACCCATTTGAGTGCTAAAGCCATTTTGCGGTTGCTAAACTCGAAACTGAAAATTAGAACTCGAAACCCTTTTCGATGTTAAAGCCATTTAAAAGACTTACTGTAATACCATTTAAGTGTCTTGTTAACGTCGAAAAATGTATGTTGTAGATATAAATGAATATATTTATATGATATTATGTTTATTATCTGAGATCGCTGTCAAGTTGTGAGATGTTAAAATATAATTTAAAAAATGAATTATTTGCACATGTTTTAAATCTTCTTTGTTGTCAGCATCATTCTAAGGTCATTTAGCAAAACTTTGTTGTTTTTTGGTATTAAATTGAAATACTTTGGAAAAGCGATGAGGTTTGAAGTTAAACTATTTTAGTTCGCGATAAACCAGGATGAAAAAGAATCGATAGAAATAAAAACTGAGCCACGAAAATGTTAATAAGAATTTATGAAAGAAAAGGTATAAATGTCAAGACTGAATTGTGTGGATTGCATAAACTAAAAAGTAAATACAGACAGTGGAAGGAAGGAAGGAAAGAAGGAAGGAAGGAAGGGAGAGAGGGAGGGAGGGAGAGAGAAAGGAAAGGAAGGAAGGAAGGAAGGATGGAATTGTAAATAAAGAAAGAAGAAAGGAAGGAAGGAGGGAGCGAGGGAGGGAGGGAGGGCGAAAGGAAAGGAAGGAAAGAAGGAAGGAAGTAAATAAAGAAAAGAAAGAAGGAAGAAAGAAATGAAGGAAGGAAGGGAGGAAAAAAGGAAGGACGGAGTAAGGAAAGCTAATTATAAATGCAATGCAAATAACTTCAGTTTATAATGTAAAAGAGCTTTCCTCAGTTCTTGGACATCTTTCAAGTTCATTAATATTTCAGAGTCATCTGGAATAAATTCAGAATAGCTGAGACAAAAACACGAAATAATCAAATAAAAGGAAGGAAAGCTAAATACAAATGTCATGCAAATAATGTTTATGTTCTAAAATAGCTTTTCCTAGTTCTTGAATAGGCTTCGAAGCCCATTAATATTTCAAGGAGTAATCTGAAATAAAAACAGAATTGAGACACAAAAACATGAAAAGATAATGTGTTATATGTATAAAAACAAAACTACTTAAGCAGCGTCTTCAGGGATTAAATGATAGGTATTTATAAACCGATAGCACGAAGCTAATTGAGTCCCTGTCAAGCTAAAGCCATACGACCACCAGCTAGAAAATGTTACCAGAAAATGTTACCAGCTAGAAAATGTTATCTTTCGGCTCGTGAAAAATATAGAAAATAAATTAATGTAAAAAGGATACAAAAACCTTTCAGAAAATTAAGTCGAGTATTCATAAAAATGAGAATTTTCAAAATTTCTTAATAGTAAAAATTATACAAAAAAGGATTGGAGTTTGAGTGGGTTTTTTAAGCAAAATACAATCAACACGCCTAATTGTGACTGTTTGCTCAACGAGTCGACCCCGTTGCCAATTTTGCTAATTAGTTAAACTGAAACACAAGAATATTATTCATACCAAACAACACACTTAAACAAGAAAACGCTCCCATTTTTCACTATTTTCTTTTACTAATAAGAGACTAACACTACCGAAGTTGGTTTTGCAAACTCATCGATATTAGAAGCTGCAAGAATTCGTCTTCCTGCATTGGGAAATAATCTGAAATCTCCATTATTATAATCTTGGGAGTCTAAAAAGAGATGAAAGAGGCTGCGAAAAGAACGAAAGGCTTGAAGGATAAGAAAGAGCACAACGAAGAAGATGAAGAAGAAGAGGTACTTCGAACCAGACGAGGGGAAATTTCGTTTTATTTTTTAAGCTGTTTTTTCTTCTGTTGCTCGTGTGTTTGGTGGGTTTAGAGCAGAACAGTGACGAGAAGTGATTTCTAAACAGCGAGAGGAGATTTGGTTTCATCTCCTATTGCTATTCTATTCTATGCTCTCCTATTTTAGTGGGTTTAAAGGAGAAAGACATGGACCTCAAACTACACGCAAGAACGTTTCATTCTATGATTCTTCTAATTTTTCTGTTTTTGTTTTTCGGTTATTCTTGTGTGTGATGGGTTTGAATGCGAGATAACTAACGTATCTGCACTTATTCTACTCTTAAAAACGTAACTTAAAACGGATTCGTTTGGACGGGCGAAGGACACGCTACGAGGTGGACGACACTTTTTTTGAAAACGGAATAAAAAGATCCGTTTTAAAAATACTTCCAGATACGTGTGGACGAGGCCTAACTGTAAAACCTCGATTTGTTCAATATTCATTCGAGCGAATTCGGGAAACCTTTAGAGTGCGGCGTCACGCTATCAAAAAGTTTTTGTTTTGTTTTGCCTTATTATACAAAAAAGTTTGCGTATAGATATTAGTAAAATCGTAAAGTCTCGTAAGATTGTCCATTAATGTCCAGAGACTGTATAAATTTTTGAACTTTACAACTTTTACAAAGAAATGTATGCTGACAGACATATTTTGCCTGGTAACAAACATTTCTTTGTAAAATTTTATGTTAAAAAACAACAACATGTCTTCGACAGTTTTACTGTATATCTAAATGGCTCAGGTCAAAAGACTTCAAACTTCACATGAGCCGAACCTAATTGAAACAATGGATAACAAGGCGATCTTCTTTAATGTCATTAGATTCGGCCCATGTGGAATTTGACAATTGACGTCAGCCTATGACAACTTTGAATATCAATGTGAGGCTTAAGTTGTGAACAAAGGGATCTGTCCGCGTGATTCAAAGCAATCTGGCGTGATTCAAAAGTCACGAATCATGCCAGATCCCTTTGTTCACAACTTAAGCCTCACATCGGTGCGAGTTTTGAATTTGGTCTATCACGTTACATGAAAAATCCCAATAGTGTCTTAGTTGATTCCTTTGTAGGGATAAAAACGAAACAAATCATCCAAGGTTAACTTTATTGTTTCTATTAGTCTAATAATGTGCTTATGCATGTCATTTAGCCTTTTTTGTTTTACAAAAATTATCGTTTTCAGTGTTTCTATAGCATTACATGCCGTACATATTTTTATGAGCAGGCTTTTCAAAAATAATGTAATAAAAATGTTAACTTTTAGTAGATTTACGAATCTTACTAGTATTTTCGCTCGCAAATAAAACGTTCTTAAAATTTATGCGTATGAAATCAATTAATCTCTAGCGAATATTTTTTTTGCAGCTAAAAGAATCTTTGATTTGATCTAAGTAACTAATTATGGAGTTTCGTTTCACTCTTTGAAAATAGCTATACCGCTGTACATTTTAATGTTATTAAAACAGGCTCACTCCATTGGCGAAAGGATGAGAAGCAATGTAGTGGGTTTTCAGTTTCTTTACTCTTTTCTGAATGTAGTTCTACCGCTGTACAGTGTATTGTTATTAAAGCAGGCTCACTCCATTGGCGAAAGGATGAGAAGCAATGTAGTGGGTTTTCAACGCGTTTTTCTGGTAAAAAGACTTTCCACAGAATTGGCACTCAAATGGCTTTTTCTGGGCATGTGTGCGCTTGTGGGTGTTGAGCGTGGAGGCCAGCGTGAAACCCTTATCGCAGATGTCGCACTTGAATGGCCTTTCTCCGGTATGCCCGTAAATGTGGGCCTGGAGATTTCCCTTCTGGTTGAATCCTTTGCCGCAGAATTCACACTTGTAAAGACGCTCCTCGGAATGTGTTCTCATATGGTACGTCAGGTGTGTCAGCTGTTTGAATCCTCGTCCACATTTCGCACACTTGTGAGGTTTTTCACCAGTGTGCGTGTAACGGTGGATCTTCATGTCGATCTTCTGGTGAAATCCCTTACCACAGAAGTCACAAACGAATGGCTTGTAGTTGGTATGCGTGCGCATATGAGTATGGAGGTTGGACGCACGGTTGAATGCCTTGTTGCATTGCGGGCACACGTAGGGTTTGACGGCTGTGTGAGTCAGCCGATGTCTTGTCAGGTTGCCAGGCTGTCTGAAGGCTCTTCCGCACTGCTCACAGTGAAATGGTTTATCACCTGTATGGATGCGTTTGTGAGTGGTCAAGGTATTGGAACGACTGAACGATTTCCCGCACACATCACAAGTATATCGATACTTTTTTGCATTTGAAGGTGCTTGGGCCTTTGTACCACTGTCTTCACTACCAACAGTTGCCTTGGAAACTGTAACATCATTGCTTATTGGAGCTCCTGATTGGTTGAATAGAGCTCCCTGGGGCTTGACGTCATCGTTGGAACATGTCGTAGATGTTGGCTTGATCTCTTCTTTAGAGAATGTAGTCTTCGGATCTCGTGCCGACTTGATTTTTCCATAACTAGTAGTTTTCCTGGGATCTTTACTCTGATCTTGATCATAGAAGCTGGCATAAAAATCTGGCAAGTAGTATCTTGGTATTGGTCTTGCTTGGCCAGCAGTATCGTTCTCTTTAGATCCATAATGTACTGAGCTACTGTAAAGTGGAGGGTTAGAATAGATTGCACCCTTCGGTCCGACCATCGTGCCATGGACTCCATAGTAACCACCCTCACTCGTTTTCCCTGACAACGAAGGAAACGGTTTTCCCGCCATTTCTATGCGGTTTGGGTTTTGCTGATTCGAGTAGAAGGCCTCTAGTTCCCTTGGAAAGGAGTTAGAAGTTTCAAAAAACTCCCTGGCGTCATAGCCTACGTTCTTATAACGCATTTGTCTTCTGAAGTCATCTACACAATTGGGATGCAAAAAGGTTCTAAACTGATCACCATGATCTTGGCTCGTCCACAGTTCCTTAGGCGAGAGTGTTGGCATAGGAAGATGGCGTCTCATTCGTAAATCACGTGTAGAATTAAGGCTGTCACTAATGTTTCTCTTTTCTAGCTCAATACTCGTTTGATAGTCTTCTGTCAGTGATTTGGTAGTTGGCAGTGTGTCGCCGATCTTCACGAGTTTAGGAATGGGTCTGGTGTTATCTGTGGCAACCGCTGTCCACTGTGACGACGGAGAGCTGCGACGTGGGCTCATTTTTAACAATGGAGGAGGTGAACCCAAGGAATGCTGACTGATTGGCTTCGGATCTATTAAGAAAAAAAGACATGCTGTTAGACTAAGAATTATTTTACAAACAGACTGCGCATGTCCGTAAATTGGCGGGAAAATGGCGAACCCGTATAAAAGGTAAATAAGAAAACAAGTGTCAGATTTGCAAAATAATTAAGTGCTAATCGAAAAGACAGTTTGAAATTGTCGAGTTCAAGTTATATTAAAAAACCTCGTAAATGGATTCTTGACACCCAGCATCTAGATGTTGTAAATTTGTTTGACATCACTGTGGTAACTAAAATGAACGTAATTTTTTCGCACCGAGTGTTAGAAACGCTGAGATCCCGTTAAATTTGCGGGATTTGGTAGACGAAAACCATTCAAAGCAAGTTCAAAAATATTTTATAAAAGCAATATAAAACGGCTGCTTGTGTCTCTTTACTGTGATATAAACTATCTGGGAGCTGTAGAGCACTCGAGAAGCAAAAGAAGCTTGCTTCTCTCGTGCTCTACAGCTCCCAGCGTGTTTATATCACAGTACAGAGACCTGCGCTTGTGTTTTATATTCCATAAATATAGACTGGGTATTATATATAAAAATTGTACGCAACAAGGACAAACTCTTACTCTTATTTCAAAAATTTAAAACACAAAATTTCAGAAAATTTGCTGAATGGTTCGCGAAGTTGTTTGCACTGCATTAAGGCAAACGTCAACGGTGGAAAAACAGAGTAAGGAATTGTTTGACCAAAAAGCCAAATCTTTTGTATATTTTATGGGGATTTATCATTCATCAGTGGCTTTTCAAGGAGCACGGAACCCTCGTGGGGTAACTTAGCAACAGCAAGCCAACTACAAGGCTCCAAAGTTAAACAAATCGTCCATGTATTTTTACTGATACAAGTATCTAGCTCATGTGTTTACTTTTATAAATAGTTCGGTTGTTAAGATTAATCAACACACTGTTTGGAAGACAGTGGAGACTGAGCTTATTGAATGAAGCTGGTAATAATGGAAGGTCTTGATTGATCTGCGCCTGATTGTCGTAACCAGGGGTAATCTTGGACCCTGTCGATACAATTCACCGGTGGTACCAATCAAAATGGCTATCACGATTCCTCTAGAAAAATCTAAGGAAAAGCATGAACAGCCTTTTATCATCCGACCATCCTTTGTCTTCAGGAATACTTCTCCTTTTTTATTTTAAACCTTATTTGTTCCGACCGTCGTTGTTTTCAAAACATATTTCTTCTTATAGTTAAGCATGATCATTCCGAGCATTGTTTTAAAAAAATGATTCAGTCTTTTGAAGCTTATTATTCCTGCCATAGTTGTCTTCAGAATGATTTTTTCTTTTCCTTTGGACCTTATTATTCTGAACATTGTTAAAAAGAATGTTTTAGCCTATTCTTTTGAACCTCATTATTCCTGCCATCGTTGTCTTTAGAATGATTTTTCCTTTTCCTTTTAGCTGTATTAGTTCGAACAGTGCCAAAACGTATATTTTTTGAAACCAATTATTCCAACCATCGTTGTGTTTTAGAATACTTTTCCTTTTATTTTAAACCTTATTATCCCGAACATTGCTAAAATGAATGTTTGTCTCTTATACTTACATCGTTATCTTCAGAAATTGTTTGCATTTTATCTAAAGCCTTAGTCTGGCTATCGTTATATTCAGATTTTCTTGTGGACCTCATTAATACGACTATTTCAGTAACAAAAGATTCATCCTAGCTTGGCTGGACCTCGCGGAACACATTTAGTGAAGTAGCTAAGCTATAGCTGGTCGTATTGTCATAGGCCATCGGTTGAAAGGATTAGAATCCTTAGAATAATGCATTGTTTTGCTAAGTCATTTGCACAAATAGTCTCGACTGTTAAAAAGAAAGGAAAATATATTGTGAAAGGTAATTTTGTTCTTAAAATTGCACTGATCAAGTTAGATTGAAAAAAATGCGGAAGTGAATAGACTTCATTGGAAATTCTTTTTACGGGTTTCATAAAAAAATTAATGTTAGGGTAATTATGTAGGTGAAGATTAACGTAAAGCTTTCATTTGACGAAGCAGACTACGACTTATTCATTGATATCTTTGTCTTTTAAGCTGTACTTTATTCAAGTTACCATAGCCATTGCTTCTAGACAGTACAATACAATTCGATTTCTTCTTTCTTAGCTTTTGCTTTTACTTTTAAAATTGTCTCTCAAATCACGGAACATGTCCTATTAAACCCGATAAACCTATTATTTTTGTTTCAATGAACGCTACATATTAAAACTCCCCTTGTAAAGTTGGGGCATTACTTTAAGTTTTATAGCAAATGTGATGAAATATTCAATGTTTGGTTTGTGAAGAGCGATTGTATCGTTACTAAAAGCAAAACTTTCCATAGAATTCAAAGAACTCCAGATAGATATCACCGTTTCTAATTTGGACAGAAAGTAAATAAGATAAAAGTTGTTTAAAAAACATGGGAGCTTCTAATTCCACTCGTGAAACCAAAACTCTTAAAAACACTAAACAAGGGCAGTTTTGAAAGTCATGTCGTTTTGAAAGTGAAGCAAGATCAACGATACGAAAGTGGAAAACCTTTTGTTTTTAATACCTTATGGTTCTTCATCATGGAGAAATCGTTTTGCAACGTTTTTTTTTTGTGTGTGTGTGTGTTAAAAATGTTTAAATTTTTGATGGCGTTTTAGTCTACCTTATAATTTACGAGTAAATAGTTATATTTTGAAACTGCTTAGCCTTAAAAATCAGGAATTTTACCGGACATTCCGAGATAGGTAGATATGCTACAGATTATTTATTTTTTTTTTTTTTTTTTTTTTTTTTTTTTTTTTTTTGCGAATCACCATCGTTTAGAATTTAGAAGTATTTTCTTTTTTTTAAAGTTAGTAAGGTACCTGTATTCCTCTTAAAGGGGAGGATATTCTTTTGTATTTCTTCCTCCCCCTGTACGATACAAATATTTACCTTTCAAGTAAAAACCCTTTTAGATAATAGTTATTAGCACGTTTCTCTGAGACTAATCAAACAAAACAGCCCAAGTCCAACCCATTTTCTTGATTATTGCCAATTACTTTGTCGAAAAGGTAGAGTTTTAGCCAAAACGATGCATTAAAGTCTAGACAATAACTACTGTCGTGCTATCATAGCCGCTCTCTCTTTCTGTCATGCTTTTATCCTTGGTTTTGTTACGTTAGTGATGATGTATTGAATAGGATTTCTCATTCTATATTTGCTCTCATTATGCAGTTATTAAAAAGGTCTTCCAACACGCCAAAATATTGCCTTTCAAGAAGTAGAATTTTAGAAACGAGTAATCAATTTGAATCGCATTAGAAGTGTTTTTTTGGTTTGTAAGGATATAGAAGACGGATCCTTCGAGCATTTTCAAACATGAATCATGAGTGGTATTTCTACATTAAGTATTTACTTAGCTATATAGGTAATGACAGGAATCGTCGCTCTGACTGTGAATAAAAATCCAATCAAGTCAAGCAGTCTTATACACTTTCTAATTCCCTTTTCGCACCCATTTTGTTTGCACCGATTTTCTTTTCTAATTATGGCCGTTCAATGAAAAGTTTATTCAACTGAGAAAATATATCATATATTTATATATGTATATATATAATATTCATTAATGCTCGACGTTAAAACCAGTAATTCCTTTTTTCTTTGTCATTTTCCTCTGTTAGCACAAGCCCAGTGAGTCTCTAACATTTTCTAAAATACTTTTTTAAGACTCTTCCTCATTTTCGTTTAAAGACGCCTTTTCAAATCTGCGATACTTTTTTCATCGCTATAATCAAACCGAGACCATTACTAATGCTCTGGTTGAAGCGACTCAGTTGAGAGCAGATTCATTAAAAATCACGTATATGGCTGTTGTTCCCACAAAACGAATCTAGTCAATGCACTACTAACAATTTCAAGTAACAAACAAAATCAATAAAAATTTCATTAGCCATTTACAGGACTACTATAATAAAGGCCAATATAACCTGTTTCGTAAATTAGATTAGTTTAAAAAGGCAATAGCACTTCCATAGTAGAGATATAAATACTACTCCTAAAACGCCAGTCATTCGGATTCGCGCGTAAGGATATACTGACAATCTTAGCACAAAACAAACAAATAAATGATATTATCGTGCAGAGAAAATTGGTGAGAGAAGCTAGCTATTTTTGCTTTACCTTGCTCCAACCTCGCTGGCTCTCTCTCGGCGTCTTGAGGCTTTTCGTGTTGTTTAACAAGGAATGATCTGGGCATCATGAAGTTGGATGTAGTCGAAATCCTAGAAGCAAAAACAAGAACTGGAATCAGAAACGCGTGGTATCTCATATATGAGTTGAGAATTTGCTAACATATTGATGGCTTCTGGCATTGAGTATAAAAGGGAAAAAGAAGTAGCTGATTTTAAGACGTAAATTTGCAGATTAATAGGAATTAGTTAAGAACAGTGATATTTAACGAGTAGTAAGATATACCTGAGTTACAATGTATCTGTTAGGAACACTGATCTGTCCCGTCTATATCACCTAGAATAGGTTACGAGTTGTCTTTTGGACAGTGTGCTTATTGTTCATTGATCGATGAGCGGCTCCTATTGGGCCCTTGATTCAAATCCTTTTATTCAGCTTGATCAAAAAATGAAGCGAACCTGTCATTTGTTCAAGTGATTGTTCATTTATCAAACGTATCACTCTAGCCATTCCATAATTAACGATTACTGAGATTTTTCCTTTCATTATTCTCCTATCCAAGGCATGAAAGTGATCAACGGACTAATTAAAAGTGAAAGAAACGTTGTTTTAACCAGCATGGCGGTATCCTAGCAACGGTCTTTCGCTACTAGAAAGCCGGCTTGTTTCCTAAGCGCTTTGAAAACCTAGCTTTCTGATTGCTTTTCGTTTGTTGTCGAATTCTCGAACCCTAGTATATTTTGTATTTATATTTAATTCTAAAAAGATTTTACTTAAGAAACTTTTTTTTCCGTTTTAAGTTTTTAATAACCTCACGTGTCAAAAAACATGAAATAAAATCAATTATATTTAAATCCTAATAAACCATGTTTATTTTCGGCGCTTTACAAATGATACTGTAAAACTAGCGAATAGATTCTACTACTTCTAAATACTCCAAGTCTTCCATAAAATAGTATAGTTTTAATTCAATAAGCAACTAATTAATCTTAGTCTTTTCGAGTCTTTTCGACCTGTTAACAATAGAATATTTTTTTCAAAAACTAAGTGTATCAAAAACAATTTCAATGCTAATAGTTTTTTGAGTTTTCTATGTTGGAGACTGATAAATAATCGTAGTGTGGTGGAAAGATATTCGTTATTCTATGGCCCAATTAGATATTACGTATTGTACGATTTTAGGAGAGCATAAGCCTATGAGACTTGTTAATCTAAACTGTCATAAAATTCTGTACGCCAAGTAAATTTTTATCTGATAAATGAGTTATCAAAGACGCGATTGGAAATAAAAAAAATGTTTGAGCCAGTAATTGAAATTCACTCTAAAAATTAGCAACACAGGTCTTTGACGATTTTCTTTTGTTGTAAAAAATTTCATTAAAGAAATGATAAAAGTTGTGGAACAATAATTTGATCTGCTTTCGTTGTCTCCTGGGGTAAGAACACGAGGGGGGAGAAAAAATATAGAAATCTTATAACGAAAAATAGAAATTGAAATCAAATGTTTGTTGCTTTTGAGAAAGATTAATTTTACGTATACCTTGTAGTTTCATCTTGTGTCTTTGTGCGTTGATTAAGATTGTTTTTCGAATGCATAGGTTTTTGATTAAGCTAGAAAATATTAATAACAGTACCAATTGGATCAGTTGTAGAAGTGTGGAATTGATTGGTCGGTTAACCAGGTGATCTAACATCCAAGTACCGTCGTTTCTTCATCGTACTATCAGCTGTTACGTGCCATTTAATACACAATACATGATTACAAACATTGCTTCGTGCATAGTCAGTTCTTGTTTTTCTGTTTCGTATTTAAGTCACAATAACGAAAACCTAAACCCATTAAACACTGCTGAAAAACACTGAAAGAAATCTATAGACGCAAGAGTAAGGTCAGTGCTGCAAAATAACGCCAAAAACAATTTCACAATGCAAGAATCGAGTTGTCCTGAAGGAGTCGAATCAAGCTCTCTTGGCTAACATACTCTATAGGAGACGATTCATATTAGCAACGGCTTTATTCTTAATTCATTCAAGAATTCACAAATGAGATCCGCATACTGACGACTTCTTGTTTTTCTAGCTAAAGGCCGGACCAAAAAAATTTTTTTTTTTTTTTTTTTCCTTGGGAGCTGTATATATATATGTACTTTCATTCCGGATGGTGTAAGATGGTGTAAGCTACTTCCGAAAAAAGATTCCCTTGCGATATATGTTTTGAACTTCCTATTGAAACCCAATTCATCGGTAAATTTGTTTTCATTGTCTTTGTTTGAATATTTGGTGTAAAAGTTTTTTTAAAAAAGGGCTCGGAATACCAATCACACTCTCTTTTTCAAATGTGAAATAATCAGTGACCCAGAAACATCCTTTCTCTACACGTATTTTAACACGTATTTTGATATAGTTTAAAAACTATATTTTAACCAGTAAAGATAAATTGTCTGGAAAATAAAACAATGAAACAAAGACTGCTTTCAAAATCATTTGACTTCGCTTCTTTTTTACTTCTAGAAAAGTAAACTTAGAAGACAGGTGTTGATAAATCCGCATTTAAACAAACCGTAATATTAGAAAGTGTTGAACAGAAGAGAGCAGCTAACAAAGCACTTAAAGGTTGCCGAACCGACGTGACTGTGTACATGAAGATTAACGGTGTTAAGTTTTAATACAAGGGCTTAGCCATGCAAACTTTTTAACTTTGATGTAAGTTGTTTAWTTGTTCGCTAAGGATTGACCACCTAACCATGGTTTTAAAAAAAACACTGTAAAAATCAGTAAATTTGCTACAACTGATCTTTCATTCGTTCAGTAACAAACTGAATTGTTTGCAGACATTTATTGTTCAATCGTAATACAGAATAGACCATACTCCAATACAGAATAG